AGCCAGACAAGCCAGACAACCAGCATGAATTCCACCAGGACAGATCACCTCCCAAAATTAAACGCATGATAAAATATTGAACCAGCATGAATTCCACCAGGACAGATCACCTCCCAAAATTAAACGCATGATAAGACGAGCAAAATATTGAACTTACAGTAGTACTTCGGTATAAAAGCTCAATCAATTTTCTTCACTGCCATCTGTGTCTTGTAATGTTTGAAGAGTAAATCAATTCGATTCACTCCATCACTGATAATCTTCCCATCGGTGAGGTTAATGTAACATGCAACATTTATTATTTGAGGTCATTTTGATGCATTCCCCGCCAAGCGTTTCCCCAAATATTAACCTCAGACACTGACATAAATCAGTCCGGCTGCTGGTTTAGTGTTTAGTGTGAGTGAGTGAGTGAGTGAGTGAGTGAGTGAGTGAGTGAGTGAGTGAGTGAGTGAGTGAGTGAGTGAGTGAGTGAGTGAGTGAGTGTGAGTGAGTGAGTGTGTGAGAGAGTGTGTGAGAGAGTGAGTGAGTGAGTGAGTGAGTGAGTGTGTGTAATCTCTCTGTGTGTAATAGGATCAATATCACATGGCTGACAACTGAGCCAAACTCCCAGTGACTGACATTAATCCCATTCTGTAGTGAAACGCAGCAGGAGCCACTCTCCCCTAATGTACTTTCTAAAATTCATCACCGTTTACTGCTGTCCCGAGAGCTGATGCAGCAGCGCAGCTGAATTATACTCTATTTTCCTCTGTACACCACAATATCTTTGTCCGTTTCATATATTCTGATCTCATACAGGCTGTCGGGTGGCAGAAGCTTCCCCATACTGTCCCAAATAAACACGGACAGGTTTTCTGTGGTGCTGCATGAAACAAATAAACATCAATATGTCTTTAAACGATTGTATTGTGACAGAAATGTGACAGAAAAACAGAGAGTCACACCTGACGACATCAGCAAGATACGGCACATCCAGATCCAGATTTTTATGGTCAAGAGGTTTCATGATGGCCTCCTAAAACACAAAACTTATTAACAATGTTTGCATATTTAGTCCTTGTACATGTGCACATGCTTTCATACATGAATTAAGGCAGCTTTTCGCCATATGTCATGCATTTCTTTATATTTGCAAGTCATATTCTTATAGTTTCAAGTCACTGTAGAATGTCTAGAAAAATTTTAAAAAGCAAGCAACTTCACTTTTTACAAACACTCACTCACGCACACTCTCACTCTCTCTCTCACACACACACACACACACACACACACACACA